TGTTTATTATCTCAGTTTTTGGAGGTCAGGAGTCTAGACATGGCTAGGTTGGATCCTCTGCTTCCCGGTCCTATCAGGCTGTAATCCACATGTCAGCCAGTGCTATGGTCCCATTAGAGGTTTGACTGGGGAAATATCTGCTTCTTAACTCCCTCACATTGTTGGCAGAATTAATTTCCTTGCTGCTGCAGCATCAAGGCTTCAGTTTATTGCTGGAGATCACCCTGAGCTCTTGCAGTTCCTTGCCACGTGGTTTTCTCCAGGGTGACCACTTACTCCATGCTGGCTTTCTTCTTCCAGGACAGTGAAGTTACCAGCACCTCTGCTAGCAAGATGGTCTTATACATATTTTAATGCAGTTGGGGAAGTGACACCCCATCACCTTTGCTATATTCCACTGGTTCTGCCCAAACTCAAGGGCATAAACACCAAGGGACAGGGATTCTTGGTGCTCAGTTTAAAGTCTGTCTGCCACAATGACTTTGATGCTTTCAGAGATAACTGTATAGAAGTTCCTCAATTAGTGTTTGATAGCTCTTCATGATTAGAATAAGCAAGTTAAAAAAATCTTTTTACTGAATATTACAGGTATGATTTTGAATTATTCTCATTGTATTATATCTGGTGGCTCATAATTTCAGTTTGCCCCATTACTTATGTTAACTTTGATTATTTGAATTCAGTGATGTCTACTAGGGCTTCTCCACTGTAAAGTTGCTTTTTCCTTTTATAAAGTATAAGTGTTTGGTGTAGAGGTACTTTAAGACCATATAAATGGCCCATTCCTCATTGTCCTTTAAGTCACTCAATCATTTATTCAGGATGGATTTACAATTTCCTATTTAATTCAATGGGCTATAGCCCATTACTATAATTACTTTGATCCTTAAGTTATTCCAGATTTGTCCTTCAGAAGTCCCTTCAAAATGCCTTCTGTGTTCTTTTGACATATCTCTATCATTCTTTGAGCACTTCCTTTCAGGAGCAATAAAGTACTCTAGGCTCATGTACTTTCCTTGCCCCGGTGCTGAAATCACTCATTACTTCATGGAGCCCTGGACAAGCCAAGATCTGGAGGTTAGTTGCTCTCATTGGTATCGGGGTCTTGATCTGAGGCCCTCTTAGTGGCCAGATTTAGGGAATATTTGTCTATTTGTCTGTCTATCCTCACATTTACATCTGTAATTCCCTGTCTCTATTAAAAGTAATGAGTTCACACCAGCACTTCTAATTTCAGTCCAAAGTCTATTCTGTTGTTTTCCCTATCCATATTTGTAATTCCCTTCTCTGACGGTGAGAAACCTGGCTCTCATTAGCTTTGTATATATTATTTGATCAGTTGCTCTGTATGTGACCCATCTTCCATTGCTGCTGCAGTATCCCATGAGGATACCCTTCTTACCCAAACTCTGACATCCCTAGCTGGGCTGCCATTATCCTGCAACACACCTTCCTCCCCCCAGCCAAGAGTGCCCTTGTCAACTCCCCTATGCCTCAACAATCAATCTGAGCCACACCCCTGTGCCAATCTTCCTCCTGTTGCTTAGGCTCTGACACCTCAAATCATGAGTTTGTTTGTTTTTTTAATCATCTTTTATCCTTACTAATTGTTGAAATTCTCTAACACAAAGTGACAGATATTATGTGTTTGTGTGAAAACGGCCACCAGTTATATCAAATAATAAGGATTAGCTACATTTATTTGTTGAGTAATGGCATAAATAAGATGAATGAAGCCAGAAAACTCATGTTAGACAACTATCCCATGACTTGAGTGAGTAATGCATTCCATGGAGCAGATTTAGTTCTTGATGTCATGATGCTAATCACTCTTGAAAGTATCTAGAGAAGAGGGGCGCTTTGGTGGCTCAGTCGGTTAAGCATCCGACTTCGGCTCAGGTCACGATCTCGTGGTTCGTGAGTTCGAGCCCCACATCGGGCTCTGCGCTGACAGCTCAGAGCCTGGAGCCTGCTTTGGATTCTGTGTCTCCCTCTGTCTCTGCTCTGTCTCTCTGTCTCAAAAATAAATAAAACATTAAAAAAAGAAAATATCTAGAGAAGAAAACAAAAATTACACAAGATAACAGGAGTCCCTTTCTTATAGCAACTGCCTTCCAGAAAGAAAGGATGCAGGAAACATTGTCATAAAGTTTATGGATTAAATTCTGTGTGAAATGGTAATATACTTTTTACTAGAAAACACTGCAGCTCTTTAAGAAAATTAGTAATTGGGGATCTTCAAGTATCTGGAAATGTGAGGAGTGTGATACTTAATTGTGTTGAATCCTGCAGAACTCCTTGTGGGTTATAAAACCAATTTCTTCAAGAGACACTGCTGCTGAATGCCTTTTTACCAAATAGCCTTGGGGGAAAACAGATTTGAGATTCAAGGTGCATCATTTGTTGAAAAGTACAAAAGAAAGCAAAAATAAAGTTAGGAAACAAGGCAAATTTTATTGTTAGCCATTTTATGACTTCACTAATCTTTTGCTGTAGCCATGTTTCAAAGGCAGAAATGTAAGTCAAACTCTGCATTTGATCGGATTACAAAGCCAGGTGTCAATTTAAGACTTGGTTTTGGAAAGGAATTTTAGCTGTTACAAGATCACTTTTCTGTTTTTCTCCAATATTTCGAACTTGCGCAAACTATACTTTTGAAATCAGAATCCTTACCCCTTCTTATAAAAAACAAACAGACAAAAACAATTGCAGAACCTGGACAGCCTTGGAGTATTAGTTCCAGGAGGCATCTGGTATTATGCCCTTGTTCTACCTCCTGTAACGTTGGGACAAGACTACAGGATCAGCCACAGCTGAGGAAATGAAATTAGTGAGACCAACAGTTCTAACATTGTGTGTCAGCATCACTTGGGAACTTAGAAATGTACATTCTGTAGACTCACTTCAGACTTATAGAATCAGCAACTTGGGGTGTCAGCAGTGATGCTTTATCAAGTTTTATAAGGTTGGAGAACTCCTGAGTTTGATTAAGCTACTATTGGCAAATATTGGATTCAGTGAATTATCTTTTTTATTCCTCCCTCATTTGCTCTTCAGGACATGAATGGTTTCTCTAGCTCCTGGCCCGATCAGGGCTACTACGTTCTGAAAACATAATTTTTCTTGTGTATTGAAAAAAAATACTTTTTACATGTTATTCTCTTCTTAGACATGGCCTATATGCTACTTAAATATTAGCGTGTGGGAGCTACTCGGTAAATACAAGTTCCCTTCTCTTGTCCCTCAGGTATTTGCTTGCTATTCATTACTGAAAAGGATGGAGATAAGATGCTGGCATCCCTAAATCATCTAATGATAAATTCAGTGAGTACATTGTTAATTATTCTTTATGCAAACTGTACTTCTAAATTTTAACATACTGAATATGATAATTCTAAGAGCAAAGTGAATTAAACATAACATATTCTTTATCTTCCTGTTAAACAGACCAATCTATGTTTACATCAATAGAGTGATTAAAAAATATCTTGTGGCACCTAGGTGGCTTAGTCGGTTGAGTATCCAACTTTGGCTCACATCATGATTTCATGGTTCATGAGTTTGAGACCTGCATTGGGCTCTCTGCTGACAGTGTAGAGCCCACTTTGGAGTCTCTGTTTCCCTCTCTTTCTTCCCCTCTACCTCTCTCTCATAAATATAAATAAATATATATATATATATATATATATAATTTTTTCCTGCCGTTTTATTATTTTTCCCTTAAAAGCAAAAATTAAATACCCAGTGTCCTCATCATCATTTCAAAATTTCCAAAACATACTTCTTTTGTGAGAAATACCCCTGTGAAGTCTGTGGATATCTAAAGCATAGCCTTCATGGTCTCCATTGTTTTAGGGTCTGAATCCTCAGATGACCCCCATTTCAGCAAAATGTCAATAATACTGATTTGGTTGCATTCTCTTTACTAAGGAAGAACCTCCAGGGTACAGGGACCTCCACAATCCCATATTTCACCTGTCTTGGCCAATTTAAATAGTACCAGTGTTTATCTCAGATTACCTAGCAATGGTTCTCAGGCCCAGATCTGTGCAAAAATCTTCTCATGATCTTGTTAAGAAAATTCAGAATCTGTTCACCTCTCTAGTTTGTTGACGTAGTATTTGAGGAGTGGAATCCAGAGGAAGAATGTGTATTGTCAACAAGCATCCCAGTGTTCTTAGGTCTTCAGGGGACCACACTGAAAAAAACAAACTAGGTTTGTCTCTTGATTGTGTTTATGTATATAAGAGTCAGTGTAGCAAGGCTTGTCATTAGTGCAGATGCCCTTGTTCCTACCATCATTCAGACAACACCCCGTGTGGTATTGGGTGGAGGAGTTAAGACAATCATGTGGATGGATGGCACCTTTCCAGGGCCAGGTTCCTTAAACTGATTTGGAACACCATGAAGGAAGGAGGTAATGTCAGGAGCTCACGTTGTGAGATTCTTAGCGCAGTGAGCCCCACAGAGCTCAGTGACAAAGCATGCCTTGTCCTCTGCATTCTGGCTGCCTTTAATTGGAAACTCTGGGAGTGCCCAGAGACATCCTTTGTGCGAGCAGTGCTGTTCTTAGGATGGCTAACGTGGGTACTGAGATTTTCTTAGCTGACTGTGGAAAGGTGATATGGGTAATCGGACTGGATCAGGACCAGGAGGAGAGTCTGAGCTCTGAGTGGGGACTGTCCCTATTTGGAGAATATTTGAAGGACTTCCTAGGAGACTCTTAAAGATAATAATGGGACAGCCCGAGGGGAAGGTTAAGTTCTTCTAATTATACCAGCTAGGCCTATTAAAGCTGGAGATATTTGGGCCTCATATTCTATGAACACAGGTATTTCTTTTTTATCTATTTTAGGAGATGTCATTGTACTAGACATTGTTAGACATTCACTTAGGACAATTAAAAATTGTCAGGTACTGTATAAAGTGTGGGTGATGTTATTTCACTGCAAGAGGATTTACCACACCTGGATCCTTGAGGAGGTGCATCAGTGACTGACATTTTAACCACTAGTCCCGGGTGACTTCAGCCAATCAGAAGCCTCTAGTGTCATGGCTGCAGGTGGCACACAGGAGCTCTTTACACCAGTCACCAAAATTCAATAATTAAGCTCTGTCCTGAAGCATTTGATTAACATTATAGATCAACTGAGACAATGAATTACCTGGAAGTAATGACAAATAATATATTCAAAATATAGAAAAAAAATCCTTGTGCTATGAGAGATCATAAGAAGAGCAGAAAATTTGTAAGTCTCCAAGTTTTTACTTTGGAAGAATGCAACTTATTTGATACACATCTTCCTCCTCCCTGCCCCCCACCCCAGCCTTTTTCACTAGAGACACCTTGGATCATTTTTGTTTTAGTGGCTTCACTAATGGATTAGGTGGCATGGAGGGGTGTGGTTGGGCGTCTATAGATGCCTGTTACCCTTAAGTGATAACCATACCAATTTATTATAGTCATTGAACCATTACAGTTTTCTTGAAGGTTTCCTAGAGGCCAAGAAAAGATTCCCGTGGTGGATTATGGCTTTGCTTCTACTGTTATGTATATCAGTGATTTATGTCTGATAGAGAGAATGGGCTAATATGGCCCCCAGGACATTCTTTACTTTTAAAAAATGACTCTTTGGCTTTCAAAGTAGGGATAACTACACTAAGCACCAAGGGAGGCCCAGTCATAAACAAAAAAATATATTCTAAATTATATGTACACATACAAAATGCTTAGTAGTTTCAGTTAGGGGAGAAAAATGGAAGTTGTACCTTTTATTCTGTCTCCTCAAAGTCTCTCAGACTTTTATCACTCTTACTCAAAAACTGTATAATTAAGAATGATCAACCTTTTAAAAAATTTTTTTAACATTTATTTATTATTGAGAGACAGAGAGACACAGAGCGTGAGCAGGGGAGGGGTAGAGAGAGGGGGAGACACAGAATCCGAAGTAGGCTCCAGGCTCCAAGCTGTCAGCACAGAGCCCGATGTGGGGCTCGAACTCTAACTGTGAGATCATGACCTGAGCCGAAGTTGGACGCTCAACCGACTGAGCCACCCAGGTGCCCCAAAACTTTTCTTTTATAAAGATGAAAATAGTAAATGTTTTCCTGCTACAGCTATGCCATAAGAACATATTGAATAACTAGATTCCATTAAATGGTGACTAAGTGAATTTAGGTAGCTGCATGAAGAATCTCTGTTGAAGTATGTTAAATAAAAAATAGTTTGAGCATTTATATATATAATGGCTTCACATAAGGTCACTTATGTTTCGGTAAAGGTTGGGGATGGGGTCCAGCTTTATGGTAAAGTTTTTGTTTTAAAATCAGCATTATTGCTGTCTAATTAATATGCAGTAAAATGCACTCATTTAAAAAGTGTTCAGTTCAGGGGCACCCCGGTGGCTCAGTCAGTTGAACATTCAACTCTTGATTTCGGCTCAGATCATGATCTCGCCGCTCACAAGACGGAGCCTTGCCTCAGGCTCCAGGCTGAGAGTGCAGAGCCTGCCTGGGTGTCTCTCTCACCCTCTCTCTTTGCCCCTCCCCTGCTCCCCCCTCTCTCAAAATAAAAATAAATGAATGAATAAAAAGTGTTCAGTTCAGTGATCTTTTGCAAATGTATATGGGTGTGTGACCACCACCATCATCAAGACCTTCCCATTTTCCCAAGGAGCTACCTCATGCTTCTTTGTAGTCTACACCCCCCTACCACCACCATCTCTGGCCTCAAACACTGGTCTGCTTTCTGTTACTATAGCTTAGTTTTGCTTTCTGGAGAATTTCATATAAGTTGAATCATACAGTATATATGCTTTTGTGTCTAATTTCTTTCACCGTAATATTATTGGTATTCATCTGTTGTTGCATAAATCATTACTTCATTCATTTCTACTTCTGAGTATTATCCATTGTGTCGATATCCACAATTTGTTTTTGTATTCTGTTACTGATGGACTTTGGCACTGTTTCCATTTTGGAGCTATTATGAATAACGCTTTCATGAAGATTCTTGTACGAGTCTTTGTATGGGCCTGCGTTTTTATTTCTTTGGGATAAACGTGTAGAAGTGGAATTGCTGGTTAAAGATTTTTCTTTTAAAATTTCTTTGTTGTATTTGTTTTAAAGTGCTTGTTTGTTTGGTGATTTGTTCTATTTTTGCCTCAAATAAATACCTCCCCATTTGTAAAACAACCATTTGATCAAAGTTCTTCTGGTAGAAAGGAGCCATTGTCTCATTTTCTTTTTATCTGGTTGATTTTTAAATTGTTAGACTCTGGCAGTAGTCCAGATTCACTGCCGTTTTTTTTGTAGTGTTGCCTATATTTCTGGAAACTGGAAACTTGTCTCAGTTTATAAAGGGATAAGAGGAAATACTCTCTCTGGTAACATTTAGCAAAAAAAGAACTGGAGACAGAAGGACAATTAAGAGTCAGGATCATCAGCATATGAATTGGGTGGAAAGACACAGTTAGGCTAAAGGAGTCAGATGGACAGAGAGGAAGGAGGCTTAAAATTTCTTGAATAAACACCAAAATATAAATGCTGAGCACAGAACAAGCTTCAAAACCAACCATCTTCAAGACTTTCCAACTTTTAAAAGACAAACATGTCACTTATTCTGAGTTCTTTAAAAACGTTCAGAGGTAAAAACGTTTAGGTATGTAGTACTTTCTCATGAAGAGAAAGCAGACATGGGTGTTTGTTTCTTAATAGTGCAGTATGTTGGGTGTTAGGTCAGAGAATCCTTTCATATCAGGATGCTCAGAAATTGTTCCCTTTTCTACCAAACACATTTTTGTTTTCTTTGCTTCTCTTAAATCCAGATATAAGCTAGTTGATCTGCCACCGTATCTTGAAAAAACATCCTTTAAATGTGGTGTTTTAATCAGTTTGTTGTCTCAAAAAGAACAGTTATTCAAATCAGTTCAAGTTAAAAAGAGGTACATGGAGATGATAGAAGGCTACATCACTAAATTGAGGTAAGAAATAGGGCCAAGCTTCATGGGAACTGGACCAGGAGATAGAAAGCCAGTGGGAACTCAGGAGTTCTCTGTCTCTGATTTTGCCTCTCTGGATCTCACGCTGTTTTTATTTCTCCTTTGTCCTGTCTTTGCAGTACAGTATGTTCTTTCCACTCTGTCATTCCCTGCAAGTCTCCTTCATTCTCTTCTTTCCTGGATAGTTTAACCTGCTGATTCATAGCCTCTGCTTCTTACTAACATGGCTTTCCTTGACACCTACTCTGATCTCATCCCTCCGTGACCTTTCAGCTTTTCTTGACCACAATCTGTATGAATAGGAGTTTAAATTCTCCAGAGAGGTAGAATCTAACTGGTAACAGGCCAGTAGATTTGCAGGCCTAGAGAAAGCTGTCCATTTTTTGTCCAGTACTAGTGTCACAGTGTTCTGTGGCCATCAAGCTCTTCCCCTTTAAATAGGGACCACGAGTGAGGCAGCTTAAGGGAGACTTGGGCAAAGCAGGCACATTGAATGAGATGTCCACTGTGAGTGGACGTGTACTTACTGGAAGTGCTAGAAAACCTGTCCTATTAGGCAGCAATCATGTAATGCTGAAGTCCAGCAGATGGACAGGCAGGCAGGCCAGGAGATCAGAGCTATCACACTAGGCAGTCAGACTTCAAACTTCTCAGGCATTTTCAAAGAACGTTCTTTCCTTGAGTCTAATTAAAATTGGTTAGATTGCCAATGCCTGCTAACTGACTTGACTTAAAATGACTACTATTAATGAGCATTGGATGAAACATAAAGAATAAGCAAAGAAGTGCGTCAATTTAAGGGGTAGTGTCTCACGAAGTGCAATAATAATAAAGAAAATATCTGAATTTGGCTGTGTCTGCTGAGCTGCCCTCTTCGTCTCTGACAGTTTAGGATCCAAGCCGGGGAGCTGAAACCTGTATTTGTACTAGTGTAATGTTTCATAATACGTGAATTTAATGGAAGCCAGCTATCATCTTTGAGTTACTTTGTCTTTAACTCATCAGGGTGTAAATGGGTTTCAAGGTAATTTTTAATCTATATGTAAATTAGCAATTTCTGTAACAGCCATAGTATGAATTTGAGTGTGTGCAGAAAAGAAGGATTGGATGCAAACAATATTTTGAAAATAATGTCAAGAAAGAGGCTATACAAGTGATACATGACATTCAGTGAATTTGAATATAGGTTATATTAGGACACTTTCAATGAAATTATTGTCATTGAAAATTTTCTGAGGGTGATAATACATGAAGTAATATGTAGAACAGAGAATGAAAATAAGATTTTATTGTTGGGTTAAACTGTGTTAAAGGTCACACAGTTTTTCATTAGATATCTTCCATTTTTATGGAATCTTCCAGATTTTATGTGAAAGTTGATTGTATTCTTACGGAATTTGTTTTTTACTAAGATAGTAAAGTGACTTAAAGTTGGAGTGATTAAAACTCTTCTTTTGTTTTCTGATACAAAATAATATGCTTTATCTACTATTTAAATCTATGTTTATAAGTAAATATGCTTTCTTGTATTTATATCTGTCGTGTAACATGCTAAAAATTACAAAAACCCTAATTTTTCCTAATTTTAGTCAGAATGAAAGCTGCATAAAATATTTTATATCCTAAATCATCTAATTAATTATTTCTTTTTAAAGGAAGAGTGTAGCACAGGGAAATGTTCTGAAGGATATTAATAAAAATACAAGCATTCGGGGCACCTGGGTGGCGCAGTCGGTTAAGCGTCCGACTTCAGCCAGGTCACGATCTCGCGGTCCGTGAGTTCGAGCCCCGCGTCAGGCTCTGGGCTGATGGCTCAGAGCCTGGAGCCTGTTTCCGCTTCTGTGTCTCCCTCTCTCTCTGCCCCTCCCCCGTTCATGCTCTGTCTCTCTCTGTCCCAAAAATAAATAAACGTTGGAAAAAAAAATTTTTTTTTAAAATACAAGCATTCAAAGTTCATTCTAAAGGTCAGGGGGTATTAGCCTCCAAAGAGCAGTTGTCAATTACATGGAAAGAATAGAAAGCATGAAAAGATACAGAATGGGTTATTATGGCTACCATTTTCTAGTCTCTAATAGTTAAAAGAAGGGTGGGAGATTGTACTGGAGGTGGTATCTGTACCAAAATTAAGTGGTAACTTCAAAACAAAAGATGGGCCACACCACTTC